CCTGGGTTCTATAATAAAGCAGGTTGAGCAAGCCATGAGATGCAAGCCACTAAGCAGCCCCCCTCCATGGCCTCTGCATCAGCTCCTGCCTCCAGGATCCTGCCCCGTTTTAATTCTTGCCCTGACTTCCTTCAATGGTAAACAGCAATGCAGAAGTATAAGCCAAATAAACCACTTTCCTCCCAAACTTGCTTTTTGGTCGTAGTGCTTTTTCACAGCAATAGAAACCCTGACTAAGACAGATGGGATGCAGACACCGACTGAAATCTGATAATCACAAAGGGTATCCAAGAAGCCCCAGGATGAGTCCACATGTAGAGTACTAAAAAATGAAATGTAAGACTGAGCAAGGAGGAAATGAAAAAATAACATTAAATATTTAATAATAATGCAAACGAGCCAGGCATGCTGGCACACACATTTAATCCCAGCATTTGGGAGGCAGACGCAGGCAGACCTCTGTAAATTTGAGGCCAGCCTGGTCTACATATCGAGTTCCAGGCCAGCCGAGGCTACATAAAGACCCTGTCTTTTTAAAAGCAAAGAAATGTCACAGCTACTCATATTACAAACATTTACAAATTTAAAGAAGAAGAATGTTGGGAACAACACACAAAAACAGGTTTGTAAAGTCTAACAGAAATGGACAAAATGCCCCAAAACTACTTTTGATCAAAACTGACACAAGAAAAAATAAAGACTGAATATTCTTGGAACTATTCAAGGAACTGAATGTCACTGATCCTAAAAGTTCCATGCAGACTGCCTCAGGTGCAGCCAGTTTTTAGTATGCTCTACTAAACACTTAGGAAACAAACGGTTCCAATCTGATTCAAACTAGTCCAGAGAAGGAAAATAAGGAAACATGCCGCCCTACTCATTTTATGAGGCCAGCATAACTTTTACCAGAGCCTGGAAAACAGACTAATAACAATACAGAAAAACAGCAGGCCAGTCACCATTCCCTAGAGGGAAAGGAAGCCTTGTACATACAGTACAGCGCACATAGAAAGGTAACACATGACCAAGCTCTCTTAACTCCAGAATAGTGATCTGACTGTATATTAGAAATCTAATGAATATAGATTCACCACCACAGTGGGTTAAAGGACAAGGTATGACCTGCTCAACAGAGCTAGAGAAAGGAATAAAATTCAGAGGTAACACACAAAGATAGAGGAAAACTCCATGTAGCAACCCAACAGCAAACCTCACTCTGTGGTCAAATATTTAACACATACCCTTTTAAAGACCAGGAGTAAGACAGCGAGGCTACTACCATCACTGCTGATCCACAAGCACAAGGCAGACAGAGAGCTGACTGGGCCTAGTATGCACTTTTGAAACCTAACCCCTCTCCCCACAGTGACACACCTCCTCCAGCAAGGTCACACCTCCTCATCCTTCCCAAACAGTACCACCCACTGAGGGCCAAGTATTCACACACATGAGCCTATGAGGGCCATTTTCACTCAAACCAAACAGAGCCACATGGTAGAATGAGAGAACTAACTCCTGCAAAGTGTCATACCACCTCCACATACATGCCATAGCATGTATGTGTACATGTTCATGTACACACATGCATGTACACACACATACACAAATGACTTTTAAATAAAATAGGCTGTCAGAGATAAGGTCACAAATGTAGTGACCACAGTTTATATAGGAACCTGTATTTGAGGCTGTCCCCAAAGTGACAACAGAGAGAACCAGACTGCCCAGGAGCAGATACTCAGCATGGAGACTGAACCCTTGGGACTAGGGCTCACAATGGCCAACAGCTTAGCGTACAGAATTAATACAAATGGATTTACTGGGTCCTGACTTTCTGCCTAGAATAGATCCTCTATCAAACATCACCAGGGGCCAAGAGGGGAGTGCCTGTGAAATGCCAGTATGTAGTACACAGTCTCCTCTCATCCTTGATGCTCACTCTTGAATCAGGCTGGGGGGAGGGGGGACACTTGGACTTCAAAAAACAAAAGTATTTCTCCAACCTGAATACCCACCAAGTGGTTCAGTTTTATGAGTTGCTTTCAGTGCTTGATGAGTTTCAGAGCTAGCAGCCACGCCAATCCTGGACTGACAATCAGCCCAGAAAGGGAACTTGTTCCAGTTTGAAGAATTGGGAAAAGCGTGGATGTATTTTAGGCTACAGCAACACTGGCATCCAGGCCCCCAAAGTGTAGATCCCTTTCCCAGTTGCTGTTCTAGGTAGAATTTCTAATCAGATATTATAGTACCATATTTCAGTGCCCCCACCACCAGTTATTTGAAATGGGTTCTCACTGTGGTGTGTGTGTGTGTGTGTGTGTGTGTGTGTAGTGTGTGTATGTGTGTGTGGTGTATGTGTGTGGTGTGTGTGTTGTATGTGTGTGTGTGTGTGTGTGTGTGTGTGTGTATAGTGTGTGTGGGTGTGTGGGTGGGTAGGTGGGTGGCCAACTCTGAGCTCAAAACCTCCTGCTTCAGTCTCCTGAGTGTTGGAACTAAAGCCATGGGCTTCCACATCCAGATGAGGGACTTTTCTTAGTGACAATGTGGAAATAGAACAAAAACAGACCATTCTGTCATAACTCTCACAGAATCAGTTCAGTCACCTAGTGTATTAGCTACTTTTCTCTCAGTTGTGATAATGAGAAAATACTTAGCAAAAACAACTGTGCTGGTTAGTTTTATGTCACCTTAACACAAGCTAGAATCATCTGGGAAGAGGGATTTTCAACTAAGGAAATGCCCACACCAGACCAGCCTTTATTACATCCCCTTGAACGATCATTGATGACTGACATGAGAGGGTCCAGCTCACTGTGGGTGGTGCTACCCCTGGGCTGGTGGTCCTGGGTTCTGTAAGGAAGTAGACTAAGCAAGCCATGAGGAGCAAGCCAGTAAGCAGCTCTCCCTGATGGCCTCTGCTTTAGTTCCCACCCAGACTAGCTAATGAAATAAATGAAATAAACCCTTCCCTCTCCAGGTTTTTTTTGATTGGTGTGTTATCAGAGCAATGGAGACCCTAACTAAGACAGCAACTAAAGGAAGAGAGTTGTTTTGATTCAAGGTTTGAGGGTACAGTCCATCACGGTGGAGACAGCATGGCAGCAAGAACATGAGGCACCTGGCCACACGGCATTCACAGTCAGAAAGCAGAGAGGTGTACACTGGCTCTCGGCTCAGCTCCTCCTTTTTATCCAGTCCAGGACCCCCACCCATGGGATGGTACTGACCACATTTAAGATAGGTCTTCTTCTCTTGATAACGAAGTCTAGAAACCCCCTCACAGACTCGGCAAGAGATTTATCTCCATGGTGATTCTGGAAACTGTCAAGCTAACAGTCAATATTAACCATCACACCTAATATGAATAAGATTCTAACAGTGGCTCTGAATAAAGAAAAAAAACAGTACAGGGGCTGGCAAGATGGCTCAGTGGGTACAGGCACATGTTGCTATGCCTGACGAACTGAGTTTGATTCCCAGAACCCACATAACAGGAGGAGGGAATCAACTCCAGAAAGTTGTTCTCTGCCTCCAAATATACTAGGGGCTTGTGCCTGTGTTCAGGCACACATACATAATACATACATACATGCATGCATGCATATATACATTAGTAGTACGAATAATCCACTCCATTAAGGTTCCATATTGCACAATGTGCCACAAGCCTGCAGGAGGACTCAGATCCTTTCTATTGTGAATAATGATGAAAGCTTGGGAGCACAGTATGGTGATGCACACCAGTAATTCCAACATTCAGGAGACTGAGGCAAGAGAACCACCATGAGTTCTACACAGCAAGTTCCAGGATAGCCCAGGTTATGTGACACTGTCTCAAACAAGAAATAAAAATAAAAGTGAGGTCTGGCAAGACGGCCTGGTAGAAGTAGAGGAGCTTGCTGTGCAAGCCTGATGACCTGAGTTTGACCCATAAAACTAATGTAAGGTATAAGGAGAGAACAAACGTTACAAAGCTGTCCTCTAGCCTCCACATCCATGTACTGTGACACATGTGTACACACACACACAGACACCACACACATCTCTATACACCTTTTGAAGTATATAAGTGGGAATACCTTTTGAAATGACATGATTTTCTTTTTTGTTTCTATGTACTGACTGTGAGATGGGTAAATGGCTTAGCAATAAAACCAATACAATCATTAATAACACTACATACGTTGGTGGTTCATGCCTTTAATCCCAGCACTCTGGAGGCAGAGACAGATGGATCGCTGTGAGTTCGAGGCCAGCCTGGTCTCCAGAGCGAGTGCCAGGATAGGCTCCAAAGCTACACAGAGAAACCCTGTCTTGAAAAACCAAAAAAAATAAAAAAATAAATTTGCCAGGTATGGTGGGACACACTTTTAATTCCAGCACTTGGAAGGCAGAGGCAGGAGGATCTCTTGAGTTTGAGGCCAGCCTGGTCTACAAAGAAAGTTCTAGGACAGCTGGGTCTACAGAGAGAAACCTTCCCCCCTGTCTCTCCGTCTCTCCGTCTCTCTGTCTCTCTCCGTCTCTCTCCGTCTCTCTCCGTCTCTCTCCGTCTCTCTCCGTCTCTCTCCGTCTCTCTCCGTCTCTCTCCGTCTCTCTCCGTCTCTCTCCCTCTCTCTCCCTCTCTCTCTCTCTCTCTCCCGCTCTCTCTCTCTCTCTCTCTCCCGCTCTCTCTCTCTCTCTCTCTCCCGCTCTCTCTCTCTCTCTCTCTCCCGCTCTCTCTCTCTCTCTCTCTCCCGCTCTCTCTCTCTCTCTCTCTCACACACACACACACACACACACACACACACACACACGTAAATAAAATTCAAGTGTGATTCACTAACAAACTCTGTTTCTGAAGCTAATATCTCAGGAAGCAACCATGATAATGCAGACTTTTTTTTAACCTACCAGCCCTGCTCTTCTGGACTCCAAGGTACTGTTACCAAGGCAGTAATAGGAACAGGTCCCACCACAATAAGAACATCTCAAAGCCTTACATTTAATAAGAGCACAGGGCACTATGGCTGAACCATCGTACCAGACACAGCCCAGGAGGAAGCCTCTATCTTCAGCACACACCTATATTTGATGTCAAATACTGTGGCATCCTCATCCTCATCATCTTCCTCATTCAGTGGGGCCATCTCCACACGCTCAGCAGGAGTGGTGATGATGTCATACTTGCGGGTCTTCTTCAACCTCTTTCCCAACCTGGAGGAGGAGAAACATATTCATGACACCATGCCTGCGAGAGATGCTGATGGACCAGCTTGTGTCGAGACAAATTCACTTCCTGACATCTGCAGACAAAGCCTGCTACCACCTCCAGACAGAAGACTTGGTCCCAGAAGCTGGGGGCTAGAGAGACACATCAGGGTATAGCACTTGTTGTGTAAGCATGGAAACTGGGGTTTGAATATCCAGCACTTACCATCCACTGCAAGAGCAAGGTCAAGTGCCAGATGGGTATAATGGCCCTCCTGAAATTTCAGCACTCGGAAGTCAGACAGGGAATCCCTGGAGCAAGATGGCTAGCTGGACTAGTCCAAGAGGTAAGCTCCCAGTTCAGCAAGAAAACCTGCCTCACAAACTAGGAAGCAATTGAGGAAGAACCCACAATGGACATTCATGCAAACACATACACATACCCCACAGTTATGTACATACATACATACACATGCACATACCCAAAGATACACACACACACACACACACACATATATATATATATACACACACATCCAAAGATAAACACACACATACCTCACAGATATACATATACACCCCATATACATACATATACATACACACATATACATACACCCCACATATACACACACACATATATATATATATACACACACATCCAAAGATAAACACACACATACCTCACAGATATACATATACACCCCATATACATACATATACATACACACATATACATACACCCCCCATATACACACACATATATACACCCACCCACACCCCACAGATATGTCCATACATACATACACATGCACATACCCAAAGATACACACACACACACACACACACACACACACACACACATAAACACACCACACAGATACATATATACACACATACGCACACGGGGGCTGGGGTGGGGGAAGACCCAGCTGTCCACAGTGTCCACAGGACTGAGTTACCAACATCCTAACCCTTCCTATATTCCCAAAGCAGAGCTATTGTAAGGTATAACTCAATAACTGAGAGAAATACAATTCAAATTCAGTCGTTCAAAAAAGATAAAATTCATGTAAAGCAATGCACAGTAAACCAAAAGATCAAATCATTCTCTGAGGAAAGAGAAGGGACAGCCTGGCTGGAAGTACAAGCACTACCCTATGGGATCTGGGACAAAGCCCAGATGAATTCTAGTTAAGTGAGGTTCCCTCAGTTTCTTGATAAGTAAAATGGGATGGGTGAAATTCTCATCAAAGGTGAGGGATGGTCACTGAGGAGACTGATGTCCTTAATAAGCCTGTGTACAGGAGGCTCTCGATGTGAGTTAGTTTGAGTTGAAAATGATAAACATAGAAATTGCATGTGCTCCAGCCTCTCTCCTAAGATTGGGATTTGTGAAAATGAGTCAATATTGTTCCCATGGCAAGGGTTATACTACTACCCTGGTACCGATGGATGATATGGCCGAGGGACACAGTAGGCCACAGGAAAAGAGCTGACATGAGCCCCCAGCACATGACTCCCTGCAGGAGGACTGCAATATTTTTCAGGGAGTGTCTGGAAGAATATGATGCCACCTAAGGAAAGTCCTCTTGCGATGGCCACTGAAGCCCTCTCAGCCTGCTCCTCCGTGGTCTTGGATCTGTCCCCAACACTTTGTATTCTCTGCCAGCTTCCTCTTAAGGATGCTCTCTGTGAAAACTCGGCCAATCCAAACGTCCTAAGTGGGGCACTGAAGAGCCTTCCCGCAGATGGCGAGTTTTTCTCCTGAGACCACTTGTCAAAGACACTGGCAGATCTTTTTCCCTCTTGCCAAGAGAAACTCACTCAAGTTCTCAAAAAGCATCAAAACATAAACTCACTTTTAGGTCCTCTAAAAATGTCTTAGGAACAGCAACATGCTCTTGGCTTACCTACTACAACTTACCAAAAATAGGACTTACCAAGCTGTCAGGTCATTTACGAAACAAATTTTATCCCCATATCTCTAGCATAAATTAACCTATGTGATGTATAGTTCCTGTTCATCCAGGTCTTTCAGGAATGAGGCTGTTTTCTCTAGACTGAAACATTTCTTAAGAAGGGAAAGAGGAAGGCTGGGGAAACTTGCAAGCTACATGACAGTTAAAAACCTCCTCATGAGGCTCCTTCCCCAAATTACATACACAGTGAACAATTGCTGGAGGTAAGGGACACTTCCATGGTGTTGATGCCTATAAGATGCAGGGGACTCCAGATGTGCAAAGTGGAACAGGCTCTTCCATGGTGCAGCTGCCTCTAAATCACCCATGTTCCTCTAAGTAACTCTAATAAGTTCACTGGTCACCAAGGAAGGCTTATATAAAATAACTCCTTCTGTCTGTTGTTGGGGCCCTATCTGGGGCAAACAGGCATTTATTTTTGTGTGTGTGTATGTGTGTGTGTGTGTGTGTGTGTGTGTGTGTGTGTGTGTATGTGTATCCCCTCCTCCCAAGAAGTCATGCAACAGCATAGACAGAGGGAAGACCCTGGCAAGTAAGAACCTAACAACAAAATGCAGCAAGATGAAGCTCATGGACACAGATGTGTCTACCTGGATTCAAAATTAGACTGAAGAATGGTGCAAATGCCAAGTCTGATGGCAAGACATTAAACCAAAGGGACATAGCAAGCCACCTTGCCATAATGAAATCTTGAGTGCCTGAGGTTTACAGGCTGGGCTTTCAAAACCATTAGCTTATAACTCTAGGCTCTGATGAGAACCAGAGGCTGTGGCCCCAAGCTTTCAAAGCCACAGACTTATGATGTAGGTGCTCTGAGCTTTGATTGACAGCAGCCTGATATTCAGCTGATGCTGCCATTCCTGAGTATTAGGTGTTGGGACCATCAGCTTTTAAGCCTGGACAGTTCTCAGGGGAAGTGGGATTTTTGGCCTTCCTATCTTCTCATCTTCAGTAGCCTCAGCTTTCTGTAGAGTCTGCTCCAGGCCACCCTCTGAAATCCCACAATTGCCTTCTTGCTGCCTCTTGGTGGATAGGTGCAACCATCCCAGTCCACTAGCAACAAAAGACCATTTGAAAGAAGCCTTTACTGGATCTAAGGTTGGAATGTGATGGGAGCATATAGGAGAAAGAGTCCCAGGCCAGCCCCCAAAGCAGTGGGAAACATCCTGCTTACACAGGCAGAAGAAAAGCATGGCACACTTGCACACCGATTATAGTTCCGCCAATTGGTCCTTCCATATTACTGATCACAGTCCTCAGAAACTAACCACAGGCTTCACATGAGAGGAATTGTAGACTTCCAGCTGAATAGCTGGGGGGTGCTATCCCCTCCTATCCTGAGTGAGAATAGCTGCAATGTGGGCAGCAGCATTCAGAGTCCATCCGGGATTGTCTTGCCTGGAGTGAGTCTTCCAAACACAATGCACATTGCCCAGAATGGTCTTGGCTGGCGGAAGCCCTCCTGAACCAGAGCTCTGTGGCTTCAGCAGCAGCTTTCCTTGCAGCTGTATTGTAAAAGTTACTGGGACATCATAACAGCCTATGTATGGAAAGGCTAGTTCTAGCAAGACTGTCAATGTCATTATATAAGTACCATTTAGTGTTTACTTCTTCTTCAAATAAACTAAGCTACTGAGGTTCAGCCCTCTTATACCTTGGACTAAAGGGCATACTGTGTGACTTACTGTGGCACACTATAGCTTCCACAGTGAGATTTTTCTTTTTTTCCCCATTTCTCTTAATTTTTATTTTTTTGAGAGGTGGAGGTTGCAAGGGCAGAGGACAGATACAAAGGGATGGGGTGATGAATGGGAACGAGATGTATGATATGAAATTCATAACAAATAAATAAAAAGTTAAAAAAGACCAGAACACCTATAACCATCAGATCCCTCCTACCTTCCCTCCCTCTCTCTGTCTCTGTCCCTCCCTCCCTCTCTCTCTCTCTCTCTCTCTCTCTCTCTCTCACACACACACACACACACACACTCACACACACACACACACACACACACACACACACACTGAGAGGAGAGAGAGACAGCACTCCACGGCTTCTGTGGAGAGCCCTCTCTAGTACATAAGGCCATCGGGAAAGGTACTCATATGTACTTCAAACACCAGCACTGACATTGAGCTAGAGAAACTGCATTTCAAACAATCAATGCTCTGAAACAAAATACCCTTTGCCAGGAAAGCACAAGCCTTGCTGTTTGGTCGCCAGGCGTGTTAATCAGACAAAGCTGAGACCCATGAAAAGTTGATACACTGGGGTCCATTCTGGGCAGAGCTCACATCACATTATGCATCTAAAAGGACATCCAGTGATAGGAGGGACACTGTGCAGCGAGTGGACAGAGTGGGCAGAAAGTGGTAGTCGCTCACTTCTTCCAGAGAGGACCTTCCCTTTACCAGGCAGAAGCAGGAAATTTTAGAAATAGAATGGATCAGTGATTTTCACAGACCTTCAGATCCCAGGGTATAACTGTCCTGGGAGTAAGGAACCAGGGCACCCTGCATCAGCAAGAGAAAATGTGAAACCGCTTTTGTCAATGATGCTAAGCAACTCAAAAGTGTGTTCACACGTGCAGCCTCCTTCTCTTGCATGTGAATGTGTGGTGTGTGTCCACATGTATGTGGGTATGTGGGTAAGCAGGCAGTGTATGCACTGTTTGTGAGTATCTTCCTCCCTCCACCTTCTGTTTTGAGACAGGGTCTCTCACACATTCTCAAGCTCACTGATTGGCTAGACTAGTTGGCCAGGGATCCAGTTGTCTCTACCCTCTCAACACTGGGTTACAGACATACACTGCTCAACTAGCTATTATCATCCATGGAGGCCAGAGGTCAGCCTTGTGTGTCTTCCCCCAGCACTCTCCATTCTTTTAGACAGGATCTCTCAGTGATCCCAGAGCTCACCCATTAGCTAGACTGGCTGCTTAGTGAGCTCTGGAAATCTACACGCCTCCACCCACCCCTCCCCTCCAGCCAGGATTGAGATTACAGGTAGAACCCGCCACACCA